GGTGCGAGGTCCAAAATTAGAAGTAAGGAAGCTGCTGATGTCAGGCAGTTATCTGGAGAGAGGATTAATGCACGTATCGACTGAGGTGAGGTGAAGAAACTTCCTCACGCATTAGGGGAAATAAAAAACAATCTACGATAGTGTACGGGCTCACACACGGACCAAGCAGGGCAAATTGCGGTATTTTGTGTTTATGATGCATTGTTATAAATATGATCAAAACTTCTATATCAGGCAATCGATGCTGTCACAATCGTACTCATTGTCCCATGTATATATTTATTCGTCTTATTGCAGTTTCATCGCTGCTTTTGATATGCCTTTCCAAAGCAACGTCACCTGCATGTACTATGGTGTATGCATGATTTTAAACTGAGATTCGCTAGTTACTACCACCAACTAGAGTATAGAAGGCCCGCCGTCGAATAGGCTGATAAACACGACTTTCTTCAAGCCATAAATAGTAAATGCTGACTAGAACATAAGCTACGTCAAGAGACCAGCAAAGCATCATTGAAGAAGCGACTAGGATAGAACGCATCACCTCTTTGAATTAAAACTTTTTGGACGATTTATTACGCTACATGTATGTCACACAAGCTTTTAAACGATCCATCGATGCCTTTACAAGGATGGTCGATATTTACAATCGGCGCCGTATCTATCAGGCAAGGGAAGCGTTCCTCATATTGATTTGAAGAGTCTTTTTGCCAGCGACGGTACCTTTGCAACCGCATATATTTCAAAAGAGAATGTCAATTACTGATTATAAAATACGGGTTTTGTACGCTCAGATCTGCGCTTCGTTGTCGTCTTAAATGACGGCAGACAGTCAGAGTGTCAGATTCATGTACCAAGCTCAAGTCGCTTTCCTACAAATTGTAGATCTAATGTCAGCTTATTCACTTTACGGATGAATAGATGGCGCACAATTGAGACATGCTCATATAAAGTTGATCAATATGTCAGCAATTTCATATCATTCTAGATCAGTAATACCACATGAATCAATGTTCGAAATATTGTGAGATATTCTTGTCAGTGGGCACATGGCTTGTTGCCCTTCTATATTTTGTGGGTACCGGTTCGCCTCCTGACTGAAGTGCCGAGTTGCTTAAAAGTGTGCTATAGACGAGCCTAGATGAATACGCACTGCTCACAATGATACGGCTCGTGGAGTTTGAGCTCTGACTTACCGACAAGCCGAAGTACAGACAGATTGTACGTGACGTATTCACCTTTGTTCCAACTCCTTCGATCCAAACGAGCTTTTCATATGGAACCGTCAAATTCAACTACCAATTGTGTTGTCCTTTCTATTGTACAAATGCATGCACGAGAGTGATCGTAAATCAAAAACCACGAAATTTGCAGACTTTTTGTTTCAAGGGTATCAAACACTTAGTATGCAAGAAGACGTGGACGACCTACACGCTGCAAACGCATAAACATACTGCTAATCCTAGCACTTTTTACGTTGGTAGTGAATACATTCATGCAGATTTCTATAGTTGGCATATTACTGCTGCTGCAGCAAGGCGTTCGCATCACTCAAATCTTGTTTAAATTGTATTTTGTGATGTCGGGTATGGTCAAATGGTTTTTACGCGAATATTGTACAATTCATAATGACGACTAGATCGTCGACGGGCTGTGCCGTTGCTCGATGTCAACCTTTGATACTTGAATTACATATCATCTGTAGATCCATCGACGACAGTTTCGTGCACCGCAACGGGCAATTAGCACTTCTTGTGAGACGTTGATATGCTGCACATCCACCGATAATATAGCTATGCCGATGGTAAATGAGCGGAAAATGGAGTGCAAACAATTACAATGTCCCTCGTTGCCTCTGTGCACATGCATGCTGCGTACGCTGTCACACTGACACTGATTTCAATATCTTGGTACCGGGTCTTTGTGCAGTCGAACAACTTATAGACTACTGGACAAGAACTGTTGTATTCGAACGACGAAACGAGCGATTATTAACAACCCACAAGTGTCGCACATTCATCAACTTCTATCTTGCTATACATGTCAATAGTGATTTGCTGCTCTTTTCTCAACACTCCTTTGCGCGCATCTTTTTTTGGGGGTGCACATGTTAAATGATGTCGATACATAATCATTTATTTGCTAATTAGCAATGTTTCGTCTTTGCTCGCTCAATATCACCTCGAAAATCACGACTTCTGCCTATCATGTGTAACGGGGTGAGCCGGTTACATAAAATTGATACATCTGTATCAATTTTGAATATTATATGTCTTGATAATATCCAACGAACATCACTTGAGAAGAGATGATGTTGGCGGAATATTACCCCCGAGAATAATTTCTTGGGAGCTCCACTTATTGGGTGATGTAGCGCCTACATCAACCAAATTAACCATCAGTAGCTGCTGGACGCGTGCAATGGGTTGTGGGCAAGAAACCCACATAGGAGATTGTAGCTGAATATAGTTAGATTGAGAAAAAGATGGTTTATCGAAAAATCTTAACAACATCAAATACAGCTCTACTTTTTTCTTAAACAGAGCTTTCGAGTTCTGTTGACTTCCTCGCGCTTTCTCACTCCACGTGTACGTGACTTCGGGAGTACACAGCCTTGTGTTCAATCAACAGAAGGTTTTAATAGTAATATAGCAAGAGCGTGCCCCATTACATCATGTTTGAAATGGTCTCCCCATTGACAACATACCGCATGGCAATGTCAAGTGATGGGACCACAGCACCGGGGCGCTCTATATAGTCCGTCACCATTTATGTAAGCTTCAATCAAATGGGCACCGGGAGCTTGTACTGACATAGTTGTCGTAACCATCTGTGGGAAGGCATTACGGATGGAGAAGCGATAAATGCACCAAATTATACACAAATAGGCAAAATGCACCACTGACGCATACTCTACGACCGATAGTGCACATGTTTAGGACCGACTATATACATCCACTTTTGTCGGCTTTGTTCTGTCTCTTATTCATTTTATCAATATGACTGCATGTCTGATATGTCAGCAGTCGTGTTGCACGATGAAGAAGGTACGTCGACGCTTCAAGCGTAGCCTAATAGTTTTCTCAATGATTCTTACGCAAGGATGCAATGCCATATAAATCATTCGTCGAGCTTTTGTGTTCTGACGTGGTACCAATGTATAGCGGTCATCTGGGCGGTGCGCCATAACCGAATGCGATGAGGACGTGCCGTGTCAAAACGGCGCGAGCATTAAGCTGTGAAGACGTGTAGGGGACGACCCGAGGCGGCATAAGATGACTTATACACAAGCAATATTGATTATGACAAGATTGTGGAAAGCTGACGGACTTTTCCTCATGATATAGCGGGAGCGTACGCGCCTGCTTGCGGACGCGATAGGTACATAGCACGTTAATAAGACACGAAACGCTGATGGAATATTGTGGTCGACACAAAAAGGCTACTATTGATAATAGTGATGTTGTTGTTAATGTATACATTGCGGTATGCATGCAGCAAAGGTAGACGCAATATTGTTATCTGCAGCTGAGGACATGCACAGCATAATGTTGCATCAGCATATTGCAACTCATGTCGATGTGGACCTAGAAAACTGACCTGCTGCGCTTATGTGCATATATTCTTGACAGAGTCGCTTTACCTGCGAGGACATCAAATCATGATGCTCGCATCCTGGAGTTCACGTATCCTGCAGCAAGTGTATCGACGTGCCAGCAACGTTCTTGTTGTAGACCTAAATGGTCAATGGAGACAAAAGACTGGTCCGGCACCTCTAAAGCACCAAAAAGCTAGTTTTTGTAATTTGCTATAGCACTTTCATCAATATCATCACTATTCGGTCGGTGTCTGTCCATTTGATCTCAGGCATGGGCTCATTCGGTCATTTAGCATGTACCAGTGATGCATTTTTTGTCCTTTCGTGCATTTTGTATGCTCTCATGTTGTGGCACTTTTTTTGCTTCATCTATTTTTAATGTCGGTGCTTATCTGGAGTATTTTTATAGTCCCAGAACAGAACGGCCAAAATGCACCAGGATTAAATTCGGGTCGAATAGCTTGCGTAAAATACCCTTTATTTCGTCCCACCTACCTCCACTGTACCCAGTTTTCCGCCAAAACATCATCAACTCGCTCGGCGTCAAGTCTATTTATTGTCAGAATCCGAGGTCTTGTCCCCACAACGAGCATGTCACTTCTTTCATTCCAACTCGTTGTGGTTATAGCATAGAATAGCTCCCGCTGTCGACTTTGAAGCTGATCGGGATGCAGATCATTTGTTAATTCGGCATTTCGTACACAAGTTCGCTGCACGCCCTGTGAGTCTCGTACCATGATCAACAAAGAGCCCACACGACTGCAGGCCAAGCTACGAAACCACGGCATCTTCGAAAAGAACTGTATCTCCAAACTCGTTGATGGCTTTAGCGACTTTATAACTACTGCACAGCGTAAGGCCTGAATCATAACGCTGCAGCGGAATGCACGCGCTACCAAACAGCAAACCCGAATCAAATGTAGCAATGTGCATTCGCATAGGCCAACACGCCACTCCTGGTGTAGCGGGCGTATGGGATTCTTCCTACTGACGTCTGTTGCCAGACATTGCAATTTGGTACCATACACTCCTACCGACAGTTCATGTAGGATTTTCGCGATTTGCTGGTAAGCGCTTTAGACTTTGTCGTTGCTGCCAAGCGCTTATGGGGAGTCATGCGAAGAACAGGGACAAGAAAATTGACACATGCTATAGATCTTATCATGACCGAACGTGTGACCAAAGATACATCAAGTGCTTACATTGTTCTATGATGTAGCAGAACGGCATCGTCAACATCCAATGAACTTAGCTTGTACACTAGAGTTGTTCGATGTATGTCACACCATCACGTTCGAAAGAGTTCGGGAGTTAGTAATGGTAGACACAATTACATGTCAAGTCGTTGATCCGATAAGCTGCAGCTTATATGGGACGAATTTTTACGACTGCATTGCTCCGTTCATCTTCGTGGGCTTCTATAATACGAGGACGCTGCAAGCTCTTGCTGCTTGGCGTAGATTTTCTGTACGAGTGCCAGGCACATAAATTGCTTTCGCGAGAGTTTCCGCACTTCCTTCAGAAATGCGGACAGTTCCATCTCATCATTGCTCAGAGCGCGGTCCATATAGTAGAGCGCATCATCGATGGAGTAACTTTCTGCCAACGTCGCGATAATTCTAGACAGACACAGAGTCAAGTGAGTACTCTGCTCTCCTGCAAACGCCAAGCGAGATTATTTACGTACTGTTTAGACAGCTCGTCGCCTTCCACCAAAATTGCGTCGGGGTCCACTGTATCGTTGTCCTCATTCTCCTCAAGCCACACAGTAATACTTTCATCCTGTGCTTTCACAACACCTTGTGCTCGAGTCAGGTCGTCACGTAGAAAACGCAATGACTGCAGGCCGCGCTCGACGTTCTCCTGCGACTGTGTAAGCTGCACTTCGTGCTCAAACTGAAGGTCAATGTCGTCGCGCACACGCTTGAAGGTCTTCTCCAACTGCATCTGGATCTTTCGGGTTACCTCAATCGTTAGCGCAGTAGCGCCATCTTCAGATCTCCCGTCACTCACTGTACCTCCCGATGCATACATTCCAGAACCCGAAAACGTCGATCCTCCTCCCAGTGATTGCGTGCTGCTTCCGAACAGCATATTAGGTTCATGTATGCCTTCGGAAGATGACAGATCTTGTCTCAACGGGGTCAGAAAGTGCGGGGAATAATACGGAGACGGCTGTGATGCACGTGACTGCGCCTGAGACCCGTGCTGAAAGTAGCGTCCGGTGCTACTGCTACTGCTCGAAACCGACGCAGAGCTTCCGTCTAGTCGGTCCTGATGTGGGTTCGGTCTGGATATCACTGGTCGCCGAAACACGGGCGGCGTAGTGCCAAAGATCGAGCACATGTGGGCCACAAGCTCCGATAGCGTACACTCTGGCTGCCAGTCGAGCGTATACGGGATCTCGACGAATCCGTCGCTCGTCACGTGCTTGTGTCCAGGCTTCACCATCATGTCCGCCGTCGGACGTACGTAGCAGACGGGAGAAGCCATGGGGTACTTCTCAACGATCCACAACTCCACTGGAATATTGTACTGATTGCCCCGATAGAAGATCGGAATCGTTCCCTCCAGATTCAGCAGTCTGCTCGTCCGTCCGTCATTGTGAGCTGCTCATTCGTGTCCCACACAGGAAACCACAGCAGCACATACGAACAACAATCACATGTCAATAGGGCGACACCCACAGTGTCGACAATGACCCACAACTGTATCAATAGAAACCGTAAAGTGAGACAATGAGAAATGGCTACATTTTGGACGTACCGAATGTACCGCAACGTGGCTGCAGGGACGGGATTTGGCCCAAGAGATTGAACACGTCGCCACGTACGCGCGCACTTTGCTGTATGTACGTACACATAAAGAGAGAGAGAGAGAGTTCGATCGTAAGTAGACGTGTTGACCGCATTCTATATGGGACGTGTGTGACGCGTTAGTGAACATTGGAATAGAACGCACACTGTAGCACTGCAGAGACGAGAGGATCTGGTCGAGAGTGCTCACGTTGTTGGCATACATTCTCAAGATGGTCGACGTGCGGGGCTTCTCGGGGTCTTGTTGAGATGTTACTCGAAGGTGGAGGCTTCGCGCGACATGCGCTGAATACGCGCACGTTTTGTCATCTGCAGCGAGTAGAATGGTACGGTAGCGATCGTTGACCGAGTGTGATATTTCGTGGACTTTTGCACGAAACGAATGGCTACAGCATTGGTGCTAAAATGGACACAATGGTGTTGGGAAGAGCTGCTGGTTGTTGTCGATAGACTGCAGAGCCAGGTATAGTAACTACATCTCACGAAAGCATATTATGTTGCGTACTCGTGATCGTTCTGGCGGTCACCTCATGGCACTTTCATTCGTGTAGCTACCGAGTTTCTTGCATTCATGCCAAGTTTTGTACACATGATCCGAACAGTTGATACCCGATACTACCAACACCTTTGTCCGATACGTCGCAGTCGCTCGTTCCCATAGTGGCAGCTGGGCACACGTGTGCAAGCGTCGTCCAAACTGGTCCACGTAAGCCGTATGCTACACAAACAGGAACCGCAGACACGCACGCGCAGCGCACTGCTCACGTAAACACTCACAACATGATTATCGACAAACCAGTCAGCACGCAAAACGCCGCTGCAACAATACTCTCTACTCGCGCAGACAGTCAGTCAGTCCACGACAACCTCGCCACGCTTCTTCACTTGTTCACTCGGCCTCGTCGAATCTTCGTCCTCCCAATTGCGTGGCCAACCGCCGATGGCCAGCACCACTTAAATGGACTGCTGCTGCCATTGGCGGCCACGGCCTTACGAGTTGTCGTTGATGCGGATCAGCTTCTTCTCAACGTCCTCGAATCGCTCCGACCCTGCTCGATCGCGGTGGAAATAGCCCTGAATCCGCATCTTCTCTTCTTCGCTCAGTGCCTCGAGACAAAACTTGAGGTGTGCTGGCGTCAAGTCCTTGCGTGTGATCACACCACGCACTTCATTGCGTCGGTTGAGCACAATGAGGTGGCGCAAGCCCAAGGACCGGAACAGACGAAAGGCACGCGGCACGGGCGTCTGCTCCTGCACCGTGTGCGGCGTGGGGTTCATGTACGGCGTGAGGTCCATCCACAGGTCCCGCTCCTCTTCGTCCAGCTGAATATCATGAACCGACGGGTACCGCGGGTAACTGCCCTCCATGTCCCGATACGACAGCGCATACTGGTCATTGTACAGCAGCGTCGTGTCCCCCGCCGGTGTCCGAACGTACGGCTCGGGTTTCTCGACGAAAAAGTCCTTGCGCTGCAGCAGCACAGCCATGTGATGGCGATTGATAATGCCCGAGAAACGAGGCGACCTGCGTCGACTGCCAAACTCCGGGCGCTTGCCGTCCCCCGCTGCGTCCTGACTGCGGGGCACGACGACGGGGAACCCACCGTGGGTACAATTCTTGAGCACGTCGTAGATCTCGCCGACTTTGGCAATCTGCGGGACGCACGTCGGCGGCGAACTCATAATGTTGAGCGCGCGCAGGAAACGCGCGTAGTACGGCGGGTCAAACTCGAGGAACGGCAAGTGGTTCAGGTGGATGTGGATGTCGTAGAGCCCCTCGTTAAAGCTGTTGCCGACCCAGCGAGCAGCCATGAGCGACACCATAATCGGCAGTCCCCACTCAATCACACCCGTGCACTCGAGGATGATGACCGTGAGTGAAATGGTCATGCGGGCCATGCCACCGAGCATACAGGCGGCCCCAATGAGCGCAAACATCCCGTCCTGCGCGCCCACGGGGAAGCCCACGTAGTGCACAAACATCACACACATGCGGCCGTAGGCTGCGCCCGCGAGCAAACTCGGCACAAACAGCCCCGACGGCACAGCAATGCCATAGGTCCAGCACGCGAACGCGTAAAACACGACAAAGAACATGCACAGCGAGAACGGCGTGAAGCTCTCGTCGCCGGTAAAGTGCAGCAGCTGCTTCATGCTCGTGGCGTAGTTCACGGTAAAGAGCGAGGCGAGGTCGTTAAACTGGCCTTCGGGGCAGTAGAACTGCACGAGCGAGTCGCTGTAGTCGCCCGCGAGCGCTTTGCACGTGCCAAAGCCGTACGACAGCCAGAACGACGCCGTCGCCATGCAAAACGCAATCAGCAGCGCTTCGCCAAAGCGCAGGTACCGGTGCGTCACGTAGCGCTTGCGCCACGTGGTCAGCACCGTGTTCGCGCCATTGAACGCCGCGCCCACGAGGCCCCCGAGCATACCCATGACGATAAACACGGGCACGTCCAGCACTTCGTAAGCTTTGCTGCCCTTGAACTGGCCAAACGTAAACGTGCCGGTTTGCGTCCCGAGCGTGCCGCCAATGAACACGTGGCCCACGTCGGGCGTTGCGTCGTCCGACGCGCTCGCCTCGAGGAACGACATAAAGTAGTTGAGCACAAAGGCCGAGACCATTGCGCAGAAGAACGTGCGCCACGTGAGGTTCTGGTGCCAGAACGACGCGCCTTCTTCGAGCGCAAACAGCACACCGCCAATCGGTGCGCCAAACGCGGCCGCCACACCGGCCGCGGCGCCGCACGAGATAAAGTCGCGCTTCTCCTTGTCGTTGCGGAAGCCCTTGAACTTGGTCCAGCTCGTGTCCACGCCAAAGCTCGAGGACTTGCCCTGCGACAAGCCAGCGCCAATCACGGCCCCGCTGTGGATCATTGGGCCCTCTTTGCCGCTGGGGAGGCCACCGGCGACGCTAAAGAGAATGCCAAACGCCTTGCAGAACAGCGTCTTGAGCCGCACGACGCGGTGGATCTTAATGCCATTGAGCGTCGCTTTGATCTCCGAGATGCCCGAGCCGCCGGCCACGGGGCACAGAATCGCCACGCAATAGCTCGCGACGGCCACGAACGCGACGCTCAGCGCCACGTACACAGCGTACCCAGCGCCAAACGCGTGCGACCCGCTGCGCTCGGACGCAACGACCGCTGCTGTCGTCTCTGTCCGCAGCGTCGACAGCAGCGACGTCCAAAACTCGACAAAGCACGCGACGAGCGCTGTGCCGAGGCCCACGAGGAACGTCATGACCCACCGCGCAATGTTCAGCGAGCGGATCGCGCCTTCGCTCTGCTCCTGATCGTGCTGCGTGTTCACGCGGCTCTCGAAAAAGTCGTAGCTGAACGACTCGCGATGCTGCGCTTTCGCGCGCTTCTCCTCGTCCTGTTGCTGCGCGGCGTTGTACGCGCGCGCACGCGTGGCGTGGCGGCGGTCGGCGTAGAGCCACGCGACGAGCGACGCGCCCGTGCGCGCGCGTAGCGCTTCTTCAATCTCAAAGCGCGAGAAGCGCGCGCCCGAGTAGAGGTCGCTGGGGAACGAGTGCGTGCGGAGGACGGCCGCGGGGCGCGCGAGCGGCGTGGGCGGACGCAGAGGGTGGAAGCGCGTGGCACGGGGCGCGGGCGACCGCAGGATGGACGACGGCGAGCGGAGCGCAGAGGCCGTGCGCGTGAGCGCCAAGTAGCGCCGGCCGACGGCGTCGCTGGCGACGACGTCGGGGGCGGACGCGTCGCTGTCGTTGTCACTGCTGTCGATGGGATTGTTGTGGTTGGGATTGGGATTGGGATTGTTGGGGGACGACGGCACGACGAGCAGTGCGTCGGTTTCGGTCGGCGGTTTGGGTGGGGCCGCCATGGCGACGTGTGTGGGGTTAGTGGACGGCGGCGGAGGCGGAGCGGGCGGACGGAAGAGGAGTGACGAGGAGCGGGTGGAGGACGTGGAGGACGTGGCGGTGCATGATGCGAGTCGCGCGTGAGTGTATTCGAATATAGAGGGACTTGCGATAAATCAGGTGGTGGGGGTGGTGGGGGTGTCAGCAGTGCACGAGCGGATGGAGTCGGGTATCTTGTGGCTGACTGGTTGATTGATCAAGTGATTGATTGAGAGAGAGAGAGAGAGAGAGAGGGGGGGAGGGGGAGGGAGGGAGGGGGAGAGTGAAAGCAGTTTCGGGGCTGGAGCACCTGCTAGAATGCATATACGTGTGGATGGGTCGACAGACGAGTGCGGCGGCAGCTGCAGGTCTCGTTGTGACTCTCTCTCTCTCTCTCTCTCTCTCTCTCTCTCTCTCTCTCTCTCTCTCTCTCTCTCTCTCTCTCTCTCTCTCTCTCTCTCTCTCTCTCTCTCTCTCTCTCTCCCCCCCCCCCCCCTCTCTCTCGTCTGTGTGGGTCGTATTGCTTTTCCTTTTTTGCGTTGTAGGGATTGCGTCTCGCTACTTGCGAGGAGTTCTTGCTCTTGTTCGCGTAGTGTGTACGGAATTGTTGTTTGGTCCCATTGTCGTGAGTGCGTGTTCCTCTTCCTCTCCTCTTCGTCTCCTCTTCTCCTCGTCTCCTCGTCTCTTCGTCTCTTCTTCTTCTTCTTCTTCTTTTTTCGTTATGGTGGCGATCGTGTTTTGCCCAAAGGCGGTTCGGGCACAGCTCGAGACGTCATGTTCGTGTGTCTGTCTGTCTGTCTGTCTGTCTGTCTGTCTGTCTGTTTGTTTGTTGGTCAATTGGTGGTTCGGGCGCTGCAGAGACTGGCCACGTGTGTCCTCATCGTACAGGCCAACGCACGTGCGCGTTATAAAGATTAAACGCAAGCACGACGAGAGCTGTTCCAAAGATTGGATCGGACGCGGCGAATTTTTGCGGCACGGACGTACGCCACCGCGACGTTTGATCTCGACAGAGACACGGCGTCAACGCCAGAACGACGACGTGGTGGCGGCCGAGGGGAAAGAAGGAAGAAGCGTATCGCAAAACGTCGAGCGAGCGCTCTGCTAGTGTCATTGTGTCGGCTAACAACTTGCGGACATGTGGGGCCCTCAACGCTTTTTACACCTACTTGATAGACAGAGCAGCGAAACGATAGCGTACGTGCAGCTGCGCGAGATTCCTAAACATGGCCATGTGGTGGTGCAAACAGTGACGACGCTCTCGATCGTGCGGCAAAACCAACTGTAGCCCGAGTCCTTCCTCCCAGATGTCGACAATTACATCCCGTCGGACGTCGCGTCTTCCACTCCCTTTTCGCTTCCCCAATGAACGACGTTTCTAGTCGAGGCGTTTGCACAACAAAGCCAACGAGATATCCTCTCGTGTCGTGCATGAGCGCCGACAAAAGGCGACCGGAGCGATGTCCGAAACCGCTTTGCTCGATCACACTGACAACCGACGACTGGCGCCGCACGCCCGTCTGAATGGATTGCCTAACGCATGGGACACGGTGCTGACGTGAGGGTATGAAGTGCATGACGTGCTCGGAAAAAAATGTGCCCACGAGAGCCGCCATTGAGTCACGACATTTGGGACGAGAACCGAAAGCTGTGGTCGAGACAGCAGTTGCAGTTGCAGCAGCAGTAGAGCAGTAGTAGCACCGAGACTGGCCAAAAAGTGGAGCACTATCACGTGGTCCATGTGATTACACGTGATTGTTTGTATCTCGCCACTGGTTCAGTGAAGCGCCGATTCGGGTCGGCCTGCACGTGCGCGTTGGCTGTCGCGTTGCAACAGCTTCAACCTGCGGCCCGCGACCTGCCAACGATGTCGCCATGCGGACCGAAAGCAATGTCGTAGGGTCTCGCGCCCTGCAGATGGTGATCGCACAGACTGCGCCGCACCTGTGAAACTCGAAGTATTTGCTTGGACGACGTTCATGAAGAATCAGAGGCATCGAGGCGAAACGCAGGCTGATCACGGCTCTCTTTTTTCCCTTCCTCGAGAAACGTTGTAACACGGAAAAACTCGTAGCAACAGTAGACACGTTTCGCCACACATTGACACGCGATTGCCACAGCTATGGCACTCGTAGTTTTTTTTTACTAACGTCTAGTCCCTGCATCAAGTCCATGGGAGTTGCCAGTGCCATTGGACTCGGCAAGTACGCCATGACTTGTCAACGGGCTACAGTGCGACCGGGACGACAGGAGCCGTGTCCGTCTGCCTGTATCGCACCGTTCGAGAGCCAGCGACGAGCCCGCACGCCAGGGAGAACCTCTGCTCGCCTCGAGTCTCCCGCTGCACTCTCTGGCCTTCTCGTGTCGCTGTGCCAGGCCCGCGATTGTATCACATCGGTGGTTTCTACGTGGCACGTCGAAGAAACTTGATCCGTGTGGTCTCTTCAATGCTACCTCGAAGACGAGACGGCGGGGTTTCGCCAATCTCGACCCAAGCAAATCTTGGCAACGGGCGCGGGCACTTACCCAATCGAAAGCCAGCGACGCACGTACTGTTGCGGCAAGATCCGTACTGTTGCTGGCAGAAGATCCACAAAGCTACCGTCCGGCCACGGCGACACTAGCGGCGAGATGCCCAACAGGCACGTTGCTGGTACCAAAGGTGCGTTGCACATGCAGGCAGATGAGCCACGCGTGGCACCCGAAAAGAAAAAGCGCTTTGTTTCTGGTCTGCATGCGATCGCCATTGGCCGTGAAAGACGGCGTCGTAGCAAGTACCTCGTCCAGATGAACATACGTACGTACACCCACCCGTACAGGTACGCCTTGTCGTCTGCAGTAAAAAACCTCGTGCTGGGCGTCCCGCGTGACGCGTGCTGGTCGATCAATCGATGCGGTCGCATCATCATCATCATCATCATCACGTTGGACAGGGCAGGGGGTGGGGTAGGCCATCACCTTTGCGAGGGTCCCGGCGCCCCGGCGCTGAGCCCGCTGACTTGCGTGGGGCACGTGGCCAGCGACGGGGCGTGGGAGGAGATGCGGCGTGGAGACGTGGGGCACGCACGCAGCCGGGCCACGTGCGCCCAGAGCCGCGACGCGCGCGGCGGTCGCGTTAGTGGAAATCGAACGCCTCCCCCTTCCCCTGATGCAATGGCGCCACTGGGGCGGGCGGGCGGCTCCCTCCATGACAGGCCCGTCATTCCGCGATTAGGACTGTGGTTGCCGGCTCGCGTGGCGCGGGAGGGGAGACACGTCCAGAGGCGACACGAAACACCCGCACACACGTACGGCCGCACCCCCCACTTGCACACACACACACGTACGTACGTCGTCGGAACGTCAAGACGGACAGCAGAGCCGCCGCCGCCGCCGCCGCCGTCGCAGGAGGAGGAGGAGGTCGTTCATGACCCTCAAGTGCTGGAGCGCAACTGCCGCACCCCACCGAAACGGTCCGTCCGCCCTCGTGGAGTCTGCTGCGTCGCTCCTACTGACGAGTAACACTACCGGCGGTAGCATCAGCAGCAGCAACAACAACAACAGTAGTAGTAACAACCTCCGAAGTAGTAGTAGTAGTAGTTCTCATCGTAGTAGTAGTAGTAGTAGTAGTGACAGTAGCAGCACCAGCTGTAGCAGTAGCAGTTGTAGTAGTCATCGCAGTCTTCGCCGCAGTCTCGAGCCGCGCAACATGGGGCGCGGACGGGCGACGCCGCAATCGAACCGCTGCCGCTCGCAGTCGAGCAATTGGGACAAGGACCTCATTGGCGCCCACGACCTGCGCGACATGAACGACATGGACAGTGACAGTGACCACCTGCGCCCAATGGACGCGACGGCCGCGACGCTCCCCGCGCCGTCGCTCCACGCGATTCCGGCGCTGTGGGTCAGCAGTCGAAGGCGACACCACCGCGGACGGAGTCGCCGGCGGTCGACTAGTGAGACGTACCAGAACGGCCACTTGGGTCGGCCCCTGAGCGGCTTTCGCGCGCTCCCTATTCACCACGTGCCGCTGGCCGAGCAGCTCCGAGCAGCTACGACCGTAGCAGCAGCAGCAGTGGCTTCTCCTGCTGCTTCTCCTGCTACTACTGCGGCTGCGGCTGCGGCTATTGCGGCAGGACGGCCGCTGAACCAGCGGCTACGGATCACGACGCCGGACGGGCCGCGGGGCTCGGGGTGGGTCCGTGGCCAGGCGGCCGACGTGCAGTGGGAGGCGCTGGACCCGAGTGTCCAGTGCGTGCGCATTGACGTGTGCAACGTGGCGTGGACGGTGCCGACGACGATCGCCCATTGCGTGGCGAACGACGGCACGTTCCACTGGCGCCGCGTGTACTGGGGCATGCCCATTGCCGAGGGCTATTATGTGAATATTTACGACGTGACGGCGCCAAAGGACCCGAGCGAGTCGGTGTTGCTGGCGCAGAGCGAGCGCTTTGCAGTCATCAAGTGAGGGCGACGTGGACGAGCGGAGACGAGCACCGCTAAAAGGGGACGCTGAGGTGGCCATCTGTGTCTGTCTGTGTGCCTTTTCTCTCTCTCTCTCTCTCTCTCTCTCTCTCTCTCTCTCTCTCTGGATAGGGGGCGAACAAGAAAGAGAGAAGAGAGAGAGAGGAGAAGCGTCGTCACGTGTTGCTCTGTGGATGGCGGCGTGGACGTTCGGGACGTCTGTGCTCGTGACAGACAGACAGGGAGAGAGAGAGCGTGTGGCCCTCGGAGCGCACGGTATTTAATGGCGCTCGGAGGCAATGGAGCACCGCGTCAAGACGACGACATCGATTGTTGCGTCGGTGCGTCTGACGTCGACACGTACACGTAGAGCCTAAAGCTAACACCGACCCTTACTTCCTGGCCCCATGGTCTCTTCTCTTCTCTTGTCCTCCTCCTCCTCTTCAGCTAGCGATATGACAAGCGCAGACGTGCAGCTCTATCGTGTGTGGTGTCGGTCATGTACCCACACATTCACAAGAACAAGAGCAACAACAAGAACAACAACAACAGGAACAACAACAACAGGAAGAAGAACAACAGGAAGAAGAACAACAAGAAGAAGGAAAAGCAGAAGAAAAAGAAGAGGACGGAAGCTGATAGAGACAGAGGTCGGGCAAGATCGACACAAAGTTTCACTGCACGTGTCAGTCTGTCTGTCCATGTGCAAGGGCTGCGCACGCTCGTCTCGGCCCTCTCCGAACGTACACACCACACTCGCTCCTGCGTGTTTACGACCGGTCCAGTTGCTCTGCAGTAGCAAAAGGATCGACTGCATTTTCGCCCACTGGATCCTCTTGCTCATCATCACGTACGACGAGGCACATGGAGCTCGGACGAAAAAAAGAGACGTCGTCCATAAGGGATGTGCAGCCCCCCCCTCTCCCCCTTTCGTCCCGACTGCTCGACGTTTGTCGGACCTCTGCAGCAAGAAAGAGGCGCGGGCCACTACACTCACTGCCCGCCCGCCCGCCCGTCCGTGCGCCCCCGTCCTCCCTGTCCGCGAGGTCCCTACTCCTTTCGTGCTGCCATACAGAGTCAGTCACAGCTTCAAGTGGCGCGCGACGACCGACAGAGAGAGAGACAGAGAAACTCGGCAACGCTTCAAGTTGCGAGCACTGCCCGCAGCGTTCGGACCGTTTATCAATCGCGGACGTCCTTTGGGTAAGGCAAAGCGCCTCGCCGGCTGTTGGACACGACACCCGATGCAGCAGCAGCGGCTGTTGGGCTGCGCGACGGGAGGCGGTCCGCAAGTACAGTACCGTGTCCAGTGGCCCGGTCCTGTCGAGATCTTGGCCGACGTCACTTGCACGTGCACCTGCTCTAGCGCACGCCAAGGGCGACGAGCAGACGGGCCGAGCGCGCCGTCTGACGCAAACCGCGCAAGTGTTGTTGTGCAGACGACTGCATCGTCTGGTGAAAGAAACAGCGCGTGACTTGTTGGAAGAGGGCCGCGAGCCGATTGAGTGTTTGGAACGGCTCGAGGCAGACAGACGAGCTGTTTGTTTGGTTTGGCAGCAGTGTCGTCGATAGAGCAGTAGGTGTGGATGGACATAAGTGTGCAGCTCAGCTCATTGACAGGAGGTGTCGAGTGAGTGTGTGTGTGTGCGTGTGTCATATTTACGTACTTGACGACAAGTGAGTCGAAGCTTTGCGCTCTGTCTGTTCTGGGCAGGTGAAGGATGGGATTTAATGGCGGCACTGTCCTGTGGATGTGTGTGAGAGAGCGTACTATGTTTCGCTGAAGCAATTTCGTTCGCGTTGCGGCTGTCACATGGGGCTACGGCGTCGGCGTTTGTGCGCTAGCAGCTACGATTGATGCACGCGTAACGACATGTGCAGTGTCAAGAGCTCGAAGAGAGAACGCAGCAGCAGCCGCGTATTGTTATAGCAACGCGTCCACGTTCTGACTTTGGATGTTCGCACGTTGCAGTGTATCGAGGGGATCTGAGTAAGGCAGTTGTATCTAGAGCTGAGTGAAGACACTTTGATCACGTCGAGCTGCAATGAGCTGCCTGTTGAGGCTAAGCCATCGACAGTGTAAAAGTCCATTTGCTTCACGATGGGATGAGTGAGCACAAAACAGGAGGGCCCGAGTGATATGACAATCACTGTTTACGCATGCGCTCTGTCGTAACGAAGGACGTCTCGATCGGTGGTCATCGCTATCCATCGTTGCACCGTGGACAGCCACGCCAATGATTGCCGTTCTCGCCGTTGTGGGCTGCTTTCGTGTATCAGGACCACCGCGTCTTCATTCGCTTTCTCATTCACTTGTCGGACGCCTTCAATCGTGCGGCTGAGTGCACCGCGTCAATGGCTTAGTGAAGGCGATGCAAAGCGTTGGCTGATGCAACGCATCGACATTCGAGTCGCTTTACGTTCACACATTCGCTTGCACATATTTGCAATGGCCCCATTTCCATTTACGCATTGCCATGCTGTAAGTATGTACGGCATGTTATGGCCATCTTTGCGTCTCTGTCGTCTGTACCACCGACACCTCAACTTCATCCCGCGCGTTGGCCATGAGGCAGATTGCTGGTTTGACTCTGTGGCTATCACTACAGCCTTTTTGTGACAAATGAAGAGAGGCACTTCGATTTTGGAGCCCCACGCTTCCTCGCTCTTGCTTTGTAGATATCGAGTACATTCTTGCCACACTTTCCATGATCGGCCACAGCGACCTGACGTCGTCAGCACTTGCAGAACTACAACGTTTTCCGCATCTCGAGGCCTTGAACGGTAGCAAGCGACAACATCTAGATCGATACGAAGACGTGTTTTTTGTAGCTCCTTCGAACATTAAACTATGCTGACACCTGGTCCACCCTTTCGCGTCTTTGTTTGCCTGGTATGAGCTGTGACGATACTTCCACTTCGACGTGCTGCATCAGCATGTTCCATTACACGATAAGACATTCTTGGCCACTGCGATATGATGGCTTCCGATCCGACAACACACGCACACCCCGAAGTCATCGATGTCACTTATGAACTGGCTAAAAATTGATCGTTTCGCGCGTTCCCGTATCTGTCCGCTGGTCATTCACGACATGCTGTCACGAAACAATTGTGTTCGTATGGTACTTAGCCTTTGCTTGCACACGTACTTGCAGACACAATCACGCGGAGTACATTCGACAGTGATCACGAAAGCTATCATACCGAAAGAGCGGAAGTGAGTGTCGCAGCCGCTACGTTGATCAACACGTACTTCGATCAGCTCGACATTCACCACGCAGCATCTGTCCGAGCCGAACGAAGCATGCTCAGCATTCGCTTTCATACGCATCAAGTGTATCATCACGTCCACGATTTTCGTGTCAACAAGAGTGAGCTACACATACCGGATCACATGCATGTAAAGTGTCATTCTTGTGAGAACAGCTTCTTACTAGCGCGCTCGATTTCGTCTAGCGCAGCAGTGCTTTGACAACGCCCTGCATCTTATGACACATTTTTCCAACGATTATTTTTTGCTGGCCATTGTCGCAGGGACGACCCACAAGGCACTCGATTGTAGTCAAATGTCTACTTTTCAGAAAACAGTGGTCGTCCTCACGAATCAGTTACTGCATTGCGCTGAATCTCATTCTGTTTACAAATCGATAGTTTCTTGCAACTATAAAATCCACTAAGCCCTGCACTCGCCTCCCCAAACATACGAACCTTTCCAATTCAATCTGTTCCTCCACCCGACCTCGTTTCACCGTCGAAACAAAAAGCGGCCGCTCGTAAAACCACCTTAGACACTTTCACATGTCCTCAAAACCCACTTGTCGAAACAACGTGTCGACATCAAAACCACCCACCCACCCCCGTACCCACCCACGTGCCCACCCACCCACCCGTTCCTCTGTGGGTTTTATCCACTCGCACCAAAACCCCCATCGGCCATGCTGTCGCACCTGAAGGAGCTCCAGGCCGACAAGAAGAGCTACGGCCACGTGGACAGCGCCGTCGACATGAGTCCCGGCGGGTATGTCAAGACGCCCAGCAGCTTAAATGACGTGGAAGAAGGCGGCGGCGGCGGCAGTAGCAGCAGCAGTGCGCTCCCCGCCGCGCAAGAGCAGCAGCAGAATCAGAGTCCGAGTTCCAGTGCGAATCAGATGCCGAAAGACTTCATGGAGCGCCCACTTTGCGACGAACAGAGCGAACGGGAGACGGATAAAATCGCACACGACGCGCAGTTCCGCGTGAACGGAATCGTTGTCGATCACGAAGTCAAAGGCGGCGCGCGACGTGGGTGGGAAGGGGTTTATGAGATTATGTTCCGGAGCTCGACGTCTACGGGCCAACGGGTGGCGCTCGTGCTGCTCGTGATGGTGTCGGTGAGTGTCGCAGTGGGTGAGTGCATTCGTTGCAATCTGAGAGAGAGAGAGAGTTGGGCGTTGATGCTAATGTGTGTGTGTGTGTTTTTTTGTTTTTTTTGGTGCATGTGATGGACAATGAGCAGCTGTGCTGGACAGTGTGGACGACATCCGGTAGTTCTCTCGGACTGCAGTGTTGTGGTTATTGGTGTTGTGGGCTGTGCAGAGGGCTGACGGGTGTGCTGGTTTTCTTGACGCTTGTAGCGACGGCATTGGCGACGTGTTGCTGGCGCTGGAGGCGTTCTTTACAGTGGTGTTTTCCGTCGAGTATTTCTTGCGGGTCGTCTCGCTTCGTCATCCCGGACGGTTTGCGCTGAGCATGATGGGCTTTATTGACGTCTGTGCGCTCGTGCCGTCGTACTTGGCGTTCATTCTCCCCGACGCGCGACCGTTGCTGCACTTGGCCGTGTTGCGGATTTTCCGAGTCATGCGCGTGTTTCGACTGCTGCGCCTTGCGCGCTTTGTGGACGCAGGGGCCGCGCTGAGCGACAACATTCAGTCGAACAAGCGGCGCATTGCCGTGTTTCTCGTGGCGCTGTTTACGATGATCATTGTCATTGGGTGCGCCATGTACCTCATTGAAGGCGACCGCCACGACTTTTCAAACATTCCCATCAGTCTATACTGGACCGTGGTGACCATGACCACGGTGGGATACGGCGATATTTCACCCGAGACCATCTTGGGCCGCATGTTGGCGACCGTTGTCATGTTTGTGGGCTACGGGATGATTGCCTGTCCACTCGTGCTGAACCAGACTGGATCGATGGACATTTTGACTGAAGTCGTCGAGTGTCCGCGCTGTTTCCGACGCTTGCACCAAGACGATGCCAACTTTTGCCGGGTGTGTGGCACAGCGCTCCGCCAGCCCCGTGCAAAGAGCATCAAAGCCCGACGCGACCGCCGTCTTCGGCTTGCAAAGCTCCGACTACCACTTCCAGACGGCGATCTCTCGTTTTCGACGTCGTCGACAATGCGGTCAAATGCGCGTCTGCTGTCGGGAGACTTGGACTCGACGCGGACGATTGACCAGGGCGACTGCTAAGTCATGGCCGTGACGGACTGTGGAGATATGCAATAGTGTGGCTGTCTGCGTCGCGAGTTGAAGCGCAATAAGCTGAAAACACTCAGTCGGGCAGTACGCACGAACGGGACGCACACAAGACAGACAGACACTGGCCGCATTTTCATCAGAGGGGCAGACAACTGCAGTTGCAAAGAGGAGGAGACTCAATTGTGTAATAATAGACCACGACTCGTTCGTCCTCGCCTATTGTTGTTGTTGTTGTTGTTGTACTCGCGGAGGTTTGCCAGTAAGAAATAAGTTACCTGCACGCCCGAACTCGGTCGCCATGCGGGTGTCCAGCGTCCAGCTATCCGCGTCTTCACACTGGTGGGGCCAATGCGCCCGGAAGCGTCGAGCGGTAAAATCGCCGCCTCGCGTGCCGCCTCAACTCACAAGTCGAGCGGTCGGTACTGACGCTTCGACTGCTGCTCTGGTAGATCTTCACGGCACTATGGGCGTCTCGATAGAGCTCTCCATCGCTGCAGCTGTAGCGTCCATCAGCAGCACTGGCAACACACGTTGTCGACATCGACATAGTTGATCCACTGACGTTCTGCAGCATCTCTTCGAGCAGCGCCAACTCGCGCTGCGTTGCGCCGACTTGCACCGTCTCGCGCCAGCCATAGCGATTCCACAATGTAATGTGCTTGATCCAGAGGTTCTTTGTCGCGTGGTCCGTGGCAGTGAACCGCACCGAGTCGTGCAGTGCACTGCGGGCAAAGGACCCGTCGGGTGCCACGGGCCCCACTTGGTACGTGTTCACTTGGAACGAGAACGCGAGCGGCCACTCGTCGTCGTCGTCGGCGGCGGCCAACTCGAGCACTTCGACGCGGTAGCCACTGAGCTGCAGCAGTCGCTGCGGCTTTAGCCGCGCGTCCATTGCGTGGCGAGTTCGGTCGTCAAAGGGTTTGCAGGTCCCATCTGTCGGGTCGAGGGATTTCAGGGATACTGCAAGTGGAATGCCTTCGGCTCGGGCCATCTCGCGGGGCTCCAGGGGCGGCAGTGACGGCGGCTCGAGACGGCCGTCCACGAGGGAACACACGATGACACCGGTGCACATCTCGACGAAACACGGGGACGCGCTGTTGAGCAGGAGGTACCCCGCGCAGGTCATGAGGGACGTGAGCAATGGGGACACGCAACCCAACGAACGGACGTGAACGTGACTGAGGGAATTTTGGAAAGTGACGACGACTTCGAGAGCCGGAAACCAAAGCATCTGCTGGTTACGATTCAGCGAACTTTCGCGCTTGGGCGTAGAAAAGCGAGAGCTCATACAGGTGCCGAGTCGATAAGAGGGAGAGAGGGGGAGGGCGTGAATGGATGAATGGCCTGTAAACGATTAAAGGAATCCCACCGCGTGTGTCATGTGAATGCCGTTCGCGCATCGACGGCCTCTTCGTTTCTATTCGATTCAGTCAGTCAGTCAGTCACTCACTCACTCGGTCACTCTGTCCGTTGATCAGCTCCCGTCGTGGAAATGGCGGTGGCTGCTCGTGATGACGTCGTTCGTTATGCGACAGTTGGGACGTATGGGAAAGTGACCGATCGAGCAGTTGGGATCGACCACGGGGTCGTTAGTCACGGCGCGATCAGAATGGGTCCGCCACTTGTGTGCGCCAAGTTAGATCGAAGGTGCAGTCCTCAGTGTGATCCAGGCGTATCATCCGTCGGCACTCGTGTACTCGTCCGTCGTCTCAAAAGCCGTCAGCTCACTTGCGTCAGTCTACATATTCCGACTAGATATGAACTCTCAATCGATGGAAGAAGGTGCGGTCGGTCGTGGTCACTCGTGAACAGCATCCGCGAACGATATGAAGCGCGTGCACTGAGAGGGCAGTGACTTGTGCGGTCATGTCAAGTGAACTTCGGTTGTAATTAGGAGTCGTTGTACGCCCTCCTCGAAGTATGAGACAATGTCACGATCAGACGGAAAATGGTACCACGAGGATCAGGCTTAACGCTTTGAACCGCGTGTCACGTGCTCCGATACCTTTTTCGCTGTTGCGTCGGAGCCACATGGACACGTGCCATCGCGTTGCACTTTGGCGCCTCAGTCGACGGCCGCGCCAGCTCGAAAACCGAGTTGCTCAGTCTGAGCCCAGCGACTCCGTGAGGGGCGACGTAGCTGCGCGCTTGGAAATCAGATGTCGACTGAACTCACTGATTACACACAGGAGCGCGCGCATCGATGCAACTGGCCGTCGTCTCGGCAATTCCAGCGCTTTTACTGCCTCGTCCGTAATCAGGAAACATGTGAATGGCTAAACTGCGGTCAAGCGTGTGCGTAGTCGCTGTGTAGACACGTAATGGACTGTGCTCAGGTCTTCGTGAGAGTGAGAGCAGACAAAATTGACACCATCGAATCAGCTCAGCACACGTCGAATCTCTCGAGCACATACTTCGCTGTATCCAGTATACTTGACTCATGAACGAGCGAACACGTTGTCAGTCACGTTCCACGTACAAACGAGCTGCAGGTGCTGGCGCTGTTTGAGGGCAAGAGCTTCGCTTTGGCAGTCGCCGCACAAGGCAGGACACGAACAAGCTCGTTGTCCATTGTCGCCTCTCTAGTCGACTTGGATCGTACCATTCCTCGACCGGTGGTATTGTACGGCGTCATTGCACCCAGATGTGTCCGGTGTCTCCATCGACAAGGAACACGACCACTCCGACAGTCGTGCGGCGCAACGAGTCGAGTGGATAACCTGTCGCAAGACCCGGAGCTGTGTGAAGTCACATTGCATGGCAGAGAAATCGGTTGGCAATCCTCGCACTTTTGTGCACACTGTCTGGTCGTATCTTACTACTGACGACTTCGTCTCAATCCAGCGTGAGCACGATTCTGGCGCTACGTCTCAGGCTGCAAACAGGTAACTAGGCAGATTGTGCCGCGAAAGCTTCGCTCGTGCTAGGCAGCCTTATGTTGCTTAGCATATACTGCGTATACTTCGCAGTGGCATAACGACCATCGAGCCATGTCGACGAGTCGTTTGGTACATGCCCCCCCCCCACATCCTTGACGAGAATACGTGCAGAGCCCTCGCTAGTCGTATAAACATGCTAGACTCGAGACCTGACAGCCTACGCCATTAATGCAACTACGGCGTCTAGCAAGCAAAACAACGAGCTCCAGGTAGGCACATTGCACAGAAGCGACGATGGCTAGAAGCACGAAGATCACAAGCCATACAAAGCACATTGTTTTGTATGCGCCCGAAAGCTACGCGAGGAGAGATCCACTTGCATGCCAGTATGTTCTTTTGCAGCATGTGAAGCTAATGCAGATGATGTCGTATCGTCGCTCCAACAGCCAGTGAGTGCCTTTTCGACTCCAGTGGCATCATCGCATGGGTTCAGTTTCTGGCCGGAAGGAATCTCAACTGATTTTATTGGGTTGTTTAACCGACGGATATAGTACAAGTGGATTGTCATCAGCTGATGGGTCGTGCTGTTGACGGATCCGAAATGCAGATTCCTCAACTCGACGTTCATCTCAAAGCATTGCAGTGATTGCATCGCTCATGCTTCGATCATATTGATAGCGTAACTGCCAACGTATCGACAGTGTAAGCTCTCGTCGTTTTTGTCGTGTCGCGCGAACTCATTGCTCCTCCTGCTTTACTCCTCTTTTGCTTTGTCGTGATGAACCCATCACATCTTCCCTTTTTTCGCTAGCTCACAACAGAGAGCCGATTGCCCATCATTTGCCCGTGTCATGATGTGATAATCGGCTCTATGGTGCCCCTTCACGACAGGTACGGCAGCACCTGTGGCCGCACTATCTCAGGTCGTACGTAGATGAGTCTTTCACGATCTCGTGTCCCACTCACCCAGCAGGTGGCTTGTCGAAACCTGCCACCCGCACGACACGAGGCGTCACATCTGGTGCACAGTGTACCATATGAGTTCGTCCGACTAACTCGTAAACAGCAAGCGTCCGTGTGTTTGACTAGTCGTGTGTGTTCTTGCTAGCAACAATGACCAGCGGTCTGGCTCTACGACAAGTGCACCGCTAGGACAGACAAGTCCATCATGGAAGACAACGAAAAGTGTTGACTTCCTACATCACAAACGCGACGATGAGCAGAGCTGGTGGTGAATATGCTATCGAATGGGATGAATACGCACGAAGATGAAGCCATCTCGCCGTGAGCGTGTTATGCATAAAATCCGGTGTTCGTACCCACTGACGGACGCGTTCGTACTGAGGCAAGTAGGTGTATGCTGTGCGCCCTCCGATACGATCTGGGAGGTCAGTAGATATTGATGTTAATAACCCTTCGAATATGATAAATGACTGGATGGTTCCAGAACGATGCACGAGGTATAGAGAATTACAGTGATCAGCGAAGAGGATCACAAGCGAAAAACATGAGAACTTCACAAGCCGAATGGCCCAAATCAAGACGGGCACAGATCTCACATTACTCGTGATCAGGGTGGTGACAAGGCACTTTACCTGCAGCTTCGTGTATAGATGTGGCACGTTCCTGAGTGTGTGTGAGACGCGTCTTCACTCTGGTCTACACAGTTTGACATGTCGTAAAAGCTGTACACGTTGTATCACATCTACAATTTCCACTCTACAAATAAGTTCCATTGCATTTTATGAACGACCTGAACTTTGCCATTGTCAAGGTCCAGTCGTTTTCATGACCACACATCAATTTCATGGATACTGCATCATCACGACGTTGAAGTGGTGCTACCGCCGCTTCGATTGTCCGTAGAATGCGGTCAACATTGGCAAGCGTCGAGAGAACGGCAACGTCTGAAAAGTCGACGAGTTCTCTTGGACGCGCTAGTTTTAGCTGTCTCAAACAAGTTCGTGACAGATACTTCCGTCAAATGTCTGAATCACACAAAAACGTCGCCGATAGCTACTGTCTCTCGAATGAATGTGAAGATATGAAGGAGCAAAGATGGTTCGGTAGAGTAAGCCCGAAAATGGAGGCTAGGCGGGAAGAGCTACGCATTTGGGTACGACTTCGACTTGGAGTGTCGGATGGAATGAAGGAGGAGGAGTGTGGTCAGCCGGAGCTGGCCGAGACAAGATTCTGGAAGAGGTTTCCAAGACAAAAAAGGACGACATTAGCAGCGGACTGACTCATTGAAGTTGCGGCCTCGTTGCAAAAAGGTAAATTTGAACGCAAAAAGACCGAGGTCCTATGTGATGCCTGCTCATGTTCATCAAATCTCGGCAAGCCATAGACTGCTTATCGTGCTACGAAGTCGAGTTGATATTCGAACGCATAAAGCGCCTAGTGGTCACTCTTTTACTTTGCAAGTGGTTGTACTTGACATAACAGATTGTCATCGAAAACAGCGTTATTTCCAGCTCCCGATATGCCGCAATGAGCCAGATCTAACAAGACTTCTCATGAAATGATGAATGTCCTCTGCATGGGCGTCACTTTATCCCAGTAATAAGGTAAAAGCGTGTCGAATCGTCAATGGTAAGCATTCTTAAAATTGCCAAGTTTTAGTGGAACGTGCTCGCTCAATGTCAGATTCCATCATCTCAATGAGGCGCTCACGAACATGGCATACTTCATCATTTGCATCCTGCGACCAAACGGACATGCACAGATGAATGCAGTGGACGAAAACCTGTTGGACCTGCCTCGCAAAACTGTATCGATTTGCCAAGCCAGTTACGGCTGGATGAGTTGCAGGAAATGCATTATCCGGAAGGTGTGAACGCGTTGTTCGGAGGTCGATTGATTTGCGATGCCGATCAGCAGTGTCCAGAACGATGGCTAGAGAGGCTTTCGGACGGCATCGAGAGGGCGCTACTGCGCGGGTTTGTGCTTACGAAGTCAGTCGAAATGCCACGTTGCTTGTCGTTCAGATTGCGGAAAAGCCTTTAGTCGTGCATACCTATTCGGCCCCTTCGCAGTGATTAGGCGAAGATCAGCTAAATAAATGATCATATAGGCTACACCGCAAAAGCCCATGCGCGCTTAGTGTACACGTTCATGTACGACAATTTCCTTGTCGTGATATGTAAAGCAGCCTTGCCACTGTCATGCGGCTGTTCAGCGCGTAGGGCATTGCTGCAGCATCACGTTTTGTAGTGCCAGCAGCAATTGCGCGGCCGTTGGTCGGCACCGTGGATCTGGCTGAAGACATCCTTGTAAGATCCACCTTGACAAATCCGAAACAGGCCGCGCGTAGCGTAACTCGCCCTTGTACCGACTCATCATTGACTTCACTTCCGCATGGGTCGGCTTATCTGGACAGATCGGGTGTTTTCCAGTGATCATCATGCAATAGACGACTCCCACCATCCACATATCGGCCTTCTCGGCTGTGGCTGCGCAATCACCCCGTTTCGGACAAAAACACTCAGGCGGAAGGTACCGTAGAGTCCCGACTGTAGACTTTGACGTAGGCGATTTAACATCGCGCGCCAGGTCAAAGTCAGTCAGCTTTACACACCCGTCTTGATCGATCAGTATGTTCGACGGCTTCAAATCGTAGTGAGCAACGCCCATCTTGTGAAATGACACAAAGCAGGTTGTCAGTCCCACGTTCATTGCCAACAGAGCAAGTCGACACAAAATGCTCAGCTTACGTCTTCGTGCAAGTACTTCAGGGCACTCAATAGCTGCGAAAGCACCTTGTATGCAGAGTCGTCGTCGAAGTACCCGTACATCTGTACACAGATAACCATCACGACCCCACGCGGTCAGGCATCAAGCGCCGAAGTACACATCGATCAATACAGCGCGTGTACCTCAATAAGCTGCTGCAGGTCGGAATGGACACTAGCGACAGTGAACGCAGTGTAGAGTCGCCGCTGGTATCGAATAATGAACGACACTTTGCCAACTTGAACAATGTTCGGGTGGCCGAGTCTCTGTGAACAATCAACACAGTGTCAGCATGAAAGGCCCACGCGCGTGACAAGCAAATCATCACGTTGTACCGAATGCACGCGATGTTCGCGCTGGGCGTGGCAAATGGACGTCGACAGCTTGAGAGCGCAAAGCTCCTTGTTGTTAGCATAATCGACCACGTCCCACACTTCCCCGTGGCCTCCTTTTCCTCGCAGACGAAGCGGTAAAAAGCGGTTGCCAAGAACCGGAAACTTGGAGAACGGCGACACTTTTTCCAGACGGGTCAGCGTCAACGCCTGTTTGTGCCGCATTTCGTCGCGCTAGTGCATCAACCCACATAAGTACCACAAACACACATACACATAAAAACATACATACACACAGTGTGGCATCGATGACGCCCGACGTGAACGTCGATCTTACGTAAAACTGACGGACTTCCTCCTGCACCCGATTGCGTCGCTCTTCCACCCACGTAGCGTTCGCTTTGCCCATAGCGTCACGAACGGCATTGTCGTGGAACTTCTTCTCGGCCATAATACTCGCGCGTCTTGCACCGTGCACAAAGGCCACTCGTCTGCACCGCACACGCACACACACACGCAAGAATCCAATCATCATCAGTTTTGCTGTCCAGCTCGTGAGCTCTTTGCTCTCGCAACCGCACGTACGTGTCTTGTTCCGTATATCGGCCCCACTCTTCGCACTTTTGCTCTTGCTGCGAGTACCGCTGGAACACCTGCTCGAGGATCTTCCAACGAAGTTCCTGCCCAGTATCAACCACAACAACAACAGCAACACACCAACAACACGCAACAAAATGCAGAGACAACACCGAGACAGCGACAGAAACAGACGACCACCACGTTCATCAGAAACCAACGCCAACACACACCGCAACCGCGACAACGTGGCCACGCACCTCCATCTCGTCTTCTTCCACGTCCGTCGCGTGGTACCGGTACACGTCGCCCACGGCCGTCGTCGCTTGCGGCCGCGTCGTCTCGTTCGCTCCTGCGCCAGTCGTCGTCGTCGTCGCGCTCTCGTCGCTGTCTCTCGTTGCTCGCACGGTCGCGTCATTCACCGTCTCGTCCAGTACGTAGCGGGCCGTCGACGGCGTCCCCACCTTCGCAAGCGACACGTTCGACAGCGGAGCGACGTCGGCAATGGACAAGAAGCTTCGCGCCGAGTCGTGGCGCGTGGGGTCCAGCAAGCCGTTCACCGTCTGGCTCGTCGACGACGCCTCGACGGCCACGACCATGTGGTCGTAGCGCTGTCTCGTCTCGTGCGGCGCTGCGCACAGCGCGACGGGCGCGACGGCGCGCACGAGATGCGGCGACGGCGACGAGCGCGTGAGCACCACGTTCAGCTCGTCGTAGATGATGTCGTCGTGCGCGGCGTCGAGCATCGAGTCGCTGTGGTAGTTACCAGCGACGAAGCGCACAGTGTCAGTCGCGGCGGGTGCGGCGGCGGCGGCGCAGATGGGTCGGAACATGGTGCGCTTACTCGCGACGGGGAGCAAATGACAGGGACAGTGCGCAAAAGGCGTTTGTGCGTTTCCTTTTGTGTTGCTGTTCGACGGCGCACTGGTTGCAGCAAAGGGCAACTTGTCGATCGGTCACGCACTGCCGGACGGACGATATGATGGACTGGGTGTGCGGTTGCTTTTTATAGTGCGGAACGGTGAATGCGCAACGCCGCCGGAAAATGGGATCTGTGCGGGAGGACGCGGCAGAAGGACGGTGGCTGGAGATTGGCATGTGTATCCCGACGCGCAGATGTCGCCTCGCCCTCAGAGTGATGGTCGTCCCTTTGACGCGCTAACTTCAAGACACGGAAGGGTTGAAGCCACGAGCGAAAAGGAAACCTGTGCTAGCACTGGCGTGCGTGAGCCGGTCAAGAATGCGCAATTCGTGGTCACTAGTCTGTCGCCATGTTACATGGGTGTCGATGCTCACTAAGGTGCAACGGATGCAAAAAAGAAGCAACTTGCGTCCCGGCAGCGCCCATAATGCGCCGTTGCGACGGCGCAGGCTCACATCCGCAACAGCGTGTTATCTCGTGTTTAGAATTGGGACCGCTTGTAGGATGTCTATCTAGCACATGAATGGATGTATCCACTCGGCCTTTCTTTTCTACCTACTGCATGTTACCGAGTGAGTGAAAGTAGTGCGGCTGTCTTCCTCTGAGCACGCGGACGAAGTAGCAGGTGGCGCCTCGACGAGCGCTGCAGCACTTGTTGCAACGCGTGTCGTCAATATGACAATTTCGTGTTTCTTTGTGGTGTACGACCACATCAGTCGTTTTGGATTGTCGCTATTACGGTCGACGGAGACATTGCCGTTCTCGTGTGCGAACACCTTCGATCGAACTGCAAACTCTCGTAGCGCCGCTCACTACTTCTTCTCTGAAAACCTTATCGGGCCATCTTGTTATTAACTTTTCGATAGGTCGGAGGGAAACGATCTGTGATTCAATTCTACGCCGAATCCAATGCCATTTGCCACCTCTGGCGCTGACACTCTTACGAAGGGCCAGTAGTGTTAAGCCCCACAAAAATGTCCAATTCATTTTGTTGGTCAGGTGAAACCACAATCGTAAATCACAATAGCGTGCGCACAATACGCGACTGACTGGCTAGCGCAGTTGTAGCGGGGTGAGCCCGTTGCATGTAATTGACACCAGATTCGGTCAGCTAGAACACTACCTGAATACCATAAAACTGTTTCGAAAATGATCACCGATTTTTACCTTGTTAGGCAGATATTGGGGGAATTTTATCCTTATAGGTAATAATCAGCACCGCGTCATTTATGACTGATATAGGCCATTATACCAATCAACACACACACGGGTCCATCCGACATAAGCATGCTGGATGAAGTAAAGTCCAGCTTTCGCGCCACCCATAACGTCTTTGCCCATTTGATCGAAGTTGAATGGACCGCGATCGAATGAATGAGCTTAAATATATCGGCGGACCTGTCATTAGCGTAATATCGTTCCCTTCGAAAGAGATACGCAACATACCGCTATCGCGAAGCTCACCACTCATTAAAACTTGATGAGGCGTATGCCAGAGTGTGGTTCAGTAGTTAGTCAATATTGTAATTTTACACTAAAATTCACCAACAGGTCATTGTCGCCGAGTCAAGTCGCCAAGTTGGTCTATTGCGTTGGGATTACATAACATCCCTTCGCGGTTCGCCCTTCGGGCCAGCTCGTCTTTCGACTGATCGATTCCCCACAACCAAATCCTCCAGAAGCCTGCCTGAGTTCAACAAATTCCAAACATTTCACCTCCTGTGACATAACACGAAAGGGCGAAATCCGACGCTTTACGCGTGTAGAAGGTCATCAAGTCCAGTGTACACCCGACTAGAAGAACCACATTGCCCTTGACTGAAGCCTACCGGCCCGTCACTTAAATAACTCTTTGGACGGCTTCTTCTCCCGAGGCTCACCAATTCGTCGTCGACGAGGCTTGAAGCAGTCCCTTTTAGCTGAGTTTACAAGGATCGTCGTCGACAAAGCTCTTTCTTTCGCTGGTAGCAAGCGTTACCAAATTCTGGTCTCCTTGGCGCTACCTGTAGACATCTTTACAAGATTTAAATCCCGATGGTTGAAGACAGGCACAATCGAGCCCGCGCGGAGATTCACTGTAAAGTGTACGTGTATCTTGGAATAAAAATCTCTCTGTAGTGATGCTTATCTTACGCATAAACGCCGAGTATTGAATATATTCTCTGTTTTCTCCTAGTTTCTGAAACAATTACTTGATGAAACGATGCTAGATCTTCCAGCACCCTGCAGTAAAACGCGTCTGTTCGCCTACACTGAATTCCCCGAACTCGAGATTGCTGACACCGAGTTCGCGGACATCAAGTTCGCCGACACAGGTTTCGCCGACACAGGTTTTGCCGACACAGGTTTTGCCGACATTCAGCTTATATAAAAGTTCGCTTAGGGATTTTTTTACGCCACATATGTAACATTGCATCATTAGCAAGGTCTGAAACAGTCTCAGCTGCTAATACAGAAGCAATCCCAGGATTCTGATAAAAGTCGACTCACGTCCTTCGACCCGAAATCTGGAAGGTGGACCTCCCAACGTTGAGGGAGTTGAGGGAGCATACGTGGTGAGATGAATCATCAAGAATAAAGACGCCATAAGAGCTTGTCGTATCTTTGACGAATAGATTAACGTTGCATTCGCCCATACAAAATATGACTGGACGTGTCAAAATTTGGGCTTGAGGAATTTAGCTGAATGACTCATATGCATTTGGGTCGCTTGATGCCTTCAATACCTGGATATAAACAGACGTTGATACGCCGAGGTTCTAAGTTCAGGTCAATATCCGAGACCACGAAGCCCGGGCCGGTAAATGTGACGTGCAAGCTTACGCCCAGCATATTCGACGCATCGAGAATGTATCACGTCCAACCTAGTTTATGCATACAAATTAATAAAGATATTCATGAAGGATTTGTGGATGGTCCCGTCAGGACCCTTCTGCTCATCCTGGATCAGGATGCGCTAGGACAAGCGACATCCGCGGCGAAATAGTTACACTGTAGCATGGAATAGGCTTATGTAACATCAAGTTGTATCTTACTTCGTACGCCAGGTGATAATAGGTCTGAAATTGATGGTCTCTCCAACTTGTAGAGATACTTGTTTAGACTGCCGGTTCAATCCCCTCACTGTGTACAATAATCCCTGAGGGTGACAATCGCAGTACGAATCCCACAGTAGCTGAAAAACCTGCCACTGCCTCTCAAAAACCGTGGTTGGAATATACCGGGTATAGTGGGTCGTTCGCGTGCCCGAATATACCTTACCAAACCAATTAACCTAGAGCTACTTGTTTTACTCATGCATCAAATGGAACGAATCGCGGGTTTTACTGCACTCCTTAATGTAATATTTGTCGACCTTGACATTCGTCGACCAAGCAAATGACGACCGTCTAGCCGCCTGCCGAAACAATTTTCGCCCGAAATATTCGACGATAGAAAATCCCACCTGCAGACACATTAGTCACCTAAAATTTATAGATCGTAACATTCGTCTACCGATTCAATTCGCCGACTGAACATTCGTCGACCAAAATAGTTGCCGATGATATCATGTTTTCCATTTTTTGACCATAGTAATATGCGTATGTTATTCTATCTCTTGATGACATATCGCGTGTATACTGTTTGCATTTATCTGTAAGTTTTAAAGTCTGATAACAGTTCCGGTCCGGAACAAGGGACAATGCTACCCTCGTGCATTCATGATAAGAATTCGGGATAATTTAAAACACGAATGGGGCGTCGAAGAAGAATCTGTCCAAACAATAGCTCTGGACCCTCTAAGACAATTACCCGTGCTCGCAGGCTGAACAGATGCATGATAGAGTACAAAATAACATCGCTCACATCTTCCAACGCGAACTTGCATGAGGTATTATCCAAGAGTGCTATATGTAGGTTAAGGGAGCCAGCTTCTACTTTATACTGATAAGAAATGTTGTTTTCTTCTTGTAAATGCTCCATGGTTGTCTCTGTCGACAGCTGTCATATCTATACTTACCCCAGCTATTTGCCAATCAAGGAATAAGCACAACGTACGTCTACGGCCTTCTCAACGATACACCACGTGTGCGCAGTACGTTTTGGAACACAAAGATAGAACATGGACCTCTTGTTGCACCATTTGGGTATCGCACAAGCTGTTGTACTAATTATATAGACTACCACTTCGCATTGGTCACGATGTCGGACACCGTTGCAAGCAATTGACAAAGCGTCCTGCGGCGATGGACAGCATATCCGAGTAAGCGAAAGGAGCAAAAGTGTGCAATACTCAGACAAACACGGTTGTTGACGGGAAGGATTCAAGAGGAGAGGTCCACATAGCAGTTGATCATTTCCAAATTGTACACGCGAATGACGGTCTCGTTCTTCCTTTATACTTTTGATATCCGGCACACCATGTACAAATCAAATCTTCGTTTTGCTGCATACGAGCTCTTGCTCCGCAGACGTCGAGAGGTTTTCGAACATCACATGGTACGCCACATAAGTGGTCATGCCTATTCAGTTTTCAATCAGCTTGTGCGCTTTCAACAGACTGACTAGAGAAAAAAAATAAATGCCACAATCGATGAAGAACGACACAAATTTGTCACAATCAGTTGCTACGAGCAATGAAACGGAAACGTAAAAGCATTTGAATTACTCTTGCGGAAGGGCGTACCGATGGCGACATCACTTGGTGCAACAAAGTGCAGACGTTACGCGCGGAAGCTCTTGCACTTTCTACAATGGTTCGCACGGAAATGTAGGTCGCCGTAAAAAACGTTGCAGACGTGTTGGTCGTTCAGTATCCCTCTACGCAATTCGCATGTGCAAGCGGTGGGTGGTCTACCAAGTCATTTGTCGAGCAAGATGGAGGAGACCTAAGCCTCGGTCTCTCATTCGTCTGGACATGATGTACACTTG